GTTACATATATACGTTATATTTTATATATGTATTTGTATCTACGTGCGTGTGATTTTTAGATGTATGTTAGATATTTCTTCCTATATATGTTATACAGTTATATATTTATATATGATTGGATAAATATATCATACTTTTAAAACCCTAGAAAGATCAGGAGCTCCCACGGACTAGCTCCCTTTCCCGACACACATTTCATCCGCTGCCGCTTTGTCCATTTGTGTTATCTCTTTGCAAAGAGAACTGGAAATTCTCCCTGTTTCCTTCTCCCTTACACCAAACATTGCAAAGCAATCTTCTCGCTCAGAAATACTCGGGAATTGTCCGTTCCAGCCGTACGCGCTGTCTGCCCGCTTACTCCCGCCGCGGTCTCTCCCGGCGCGGTGTTTGTTTCTCTCTCCCTTGTTGCATGCAGCCTGTCAAAGTTTCCCGAGTTGGGCCTGACCTCTTTAGCCCCTGCGATCTCTCCTGACCCCGTCCCCACCGCCTTAGGGACACGCGAGCCGGAGGTGACAGGTCACTTTTTAAACCCTTTTGCTGTTCCAGCCGCGCTGCTGTGTCTGCGCTGAATTGCATTTCGCTTTCAGTGAGATCCCTTTAAAAACAAGTAAACAAAAATTCAATTAATTTCAAAAAAATAAAAAGCCCCAAAACTACCTTCAGGGAAGGTGAAAAACGTAACCCGGCAATGATGGACTCTGCCTTCCCATCGCCAAGAGCTTTGGCGGCTGTACACCTGTATTAGCAGATCGATCCGCTCTCCTCCGCGCATCCCTGACTTGCCTGATGTAAATTAAATGCTCTGCTTTAGTTAAGTTAATGACTTTACAGACGAGAATTATTGAGCTGGGCATTCTCACAAAATTTGCTCCTGTAATCTAATATTGCAAGAGGGAAGCTTAGTGCTACTACAATTCCTTTTTTTGGGGGGACAATAATTTCAATTTGGCTTTCAGCCTCTTCCTTTCCTTTGCGATCGCCCCGAATTAATTTGATTTCTAACGTGCTGGGAGAGGGCCCTCGAGATGGGAAGGAGCCCACCCGTGTCATTCCCTGAGTAGCTCCGGTTTGTGATTTTCATGAATCCTCAAGTATTCTGGAAAAGCGTGAAAAGAAGTGTGTTGTCCTATCTGGACCCACTTCTCTAAAACTGCCCTAAACTCCAGACTTAAGCAAGGCCTAATCTTTCCTCGGTCCTTTTTTCCCCTTTCGAAGTTATTTCTCTATTAAGATCGGCGGTTTGTGACACCTGCAAAATAGCTTTTTGTAAAGGGTTTCAATAGCCAGGGAATCGAGGTCGGTGATTTCAGCGGGATGTCGGGCGAAAAAATATTATCTGGGAAGGGAAGGTCCTTCGGCCTCCATCATCTTCCTGATTTCCCACCTCCGGGTGCTCAGTCCCCTCGAAGCCGATGTGACAGCAAGAGCCAATGACCAGTTCTTCCGCAAAAAGCCCGTCTGTCCGTGGAGGGTTTTGACATTAGAAGCAGCTTCTCGATTTATTACTATTAATATTACGGGCGGGATGAACTGGTGAAAGCTGTAAAAGTTAGATTTTGAGCGATAAGGAGGGGGAACCGCCTCCGAGTGATGATTTTTTTGTCCGACATTAGCCAGAACATGGAGGATAAACAGGAAAAAAAAAAAAAACAAACAAACAAAAAAAACAACAACAGCATAAGAGAAAAGTGCAGCGAGTGCTTGAGGACTGGCACGGGATAAACACAATTACAGGGGCTGCCGTGGCGACGGTCTCTGCTTCTTATCAGAGTCTGGCAGTCACTGAGGGGATGGTGAGGGAAGAAGCCCGTGAACGTATGGATGTATTCCGGGGGGAAATATTTGTCCGGGATTTAATTTTAAAGTGCGGTTTTGCGGTTTCCTCCGTGCGGAGCCGAAGTCGGGACGGGCCGGGGTGAGCCGAAAGCCGGGCAGGGAGCTGGGACCGGGAGCGATCCCCGGGGCCACGGTTGCCTTGTACAGCCCACCCCTCCTGGAGGGACCCCCCTTTCAGCTGGGTCTTTGGAGAGGTTCGCTTTGAGAAAAGAAATAGGTTGCGTTTGAAAAGAGAGAGTGGAATAAAGGGGTGACTGGTAGTGAATTTAGTGTCGATTTACTGGAGTTTTAATTTAGTGTCGTTTTAGGAGTCAACCAAATATCACGGTGAGCACCTTAATTATTAAAATACCCCAGTGTGATCATTAGATGGTATTTGAGAAGCCTGTTTCCTAAGAGGACTTTATTTTTCGCGTTTAGTATCTAGAAGAAGGGCAAGAAGAGAAATTCAGATTTTTCTACTGTAGCTGTTTTCTCCCTCCCCTTCTGAACGCTCTCCTCACTGGATTTTTTTAATTACATCATATCAACTTCAACAGCTTCGTGGTCTAGTTTATTTCAAAAAAAAATAAGAGAAAAGTGAAAGGGGTTCAGAAAACACGACGTGAAAATCCTGACAACCTTTTGAACCAGACACGACAGTATGTACAAAATTTAGCAGCCTCCTAAGAGCAGCCCGTGTGTCATTTTCTGTGTCAAGCTGCGGAGCCGGAGTGGCTTGTCGTATATCCTGGGAGAGATCCTAAACACAGCCAAATTGCTAAGCCTTTCACGTCAGCTTTTTAATTATTCTTTAGATTGCAAAAATTATTAGTGAAATGCAAAATGAATCTAGAGGCAAGTCAGCGATGTGCCAACCTAGGCACATGAGCCTAACCTAATTGGCGTTATAAGGCAAGCACAAAAGGTAGGAGGTTTCCTGATTTATATTGACTACAGATGCTACAGCTATGCACTTTTTTTTTTTAATTGGCAAATGTCAAAAAAGCTAAATATTAAATGAAAAATGTACTGCTTTCTTCTTTTTTGATACTTGTTGAAAAACAGAAATACTTATTGAAAAGAAAAGTTGTTAAGCAGAGGTAAAACTTGCTCTTGATTTCAAGTGGAGAGGATAGAGCAAGAAAAATGCCCAGTTATCAAAACCACAAAAATTATCAGACCCACTTCTTCAGCTGTCAGAAAAAAAGATAGGATTGACTTGTTGCTCTCAGTGGAGAGATTCTGGAGCAGCGCTGGCCTGGGCTTGTCTCTTGCACCACTGTCCTTTTGCGAATCTCCTGCTTTTGCGTATATGCTTGTCTTGTGCTTTGTTGGAGTTACTCCTCCAGTTCTGCAGCTACCACAGCTCTAGACCCCTGTGATGTGACTCCTAAAGCGATCTTCTCTGTGTGTGTCTGTGAATCCTTTGCGTGCTGTTTACCTACAAGCTGCCCTTCTGAAAATATTGAGCATAAATTTCACTTGCCAGGACATCTGCTGAAGTCCTGTGAACATCACTTTGGCCAAGAAGAGATTTCCAGAGCCACTTGCAAAAAGATCCCCTGTTTGGAGAGTATCACCTGGTGGGATTCTCCCCTCTGATACACACCCCCACCCCTTCTCACCCCAGCCCTCAGCTGCAGCACATGTCTCCAGAGCGCCCAGGTCTCCTTGCTTTTGTGATAACCGTCGTTTCCCTTCCTTGCAGGACACCTGAGCCCCACTGCCTGCACCCTGAGGAAGCACAAGACGAATAGGAAGCCCCGAACCCCATTCACTACTTCGCAGCTGCTGGCTCTGGAGCGCAAGTTCCGCCAGAAGCAGTATCTGTCCATCGCCGAGAGAGCAGAGTTCTCCAGCTCCCTCAACCTCACAGAGACCCAGGTCAAAATCTGGTTCCAGAATCGGAGAGCCAAGGCCAAGAGACTGCAGGAAGCTGAGCTAGAGAAGCTCAAAATGGCAGCAAAGCCTATGTTGCCATCAGGGTTCAGCCTCCCTTTCCCCATCAACTCTCCCATCCAGGCTGCCTCACTGTATGGAACTTCCTACCCTTTTCACAGACCTGTGCTTCCTATCCCGCCTGTTGGACTCTATGCTACTCCCGTTGGATATAGCATGTACCACTTATCCTAAGAAGATCAGAAGCGACAGTGAGACAGACTTTCTGGTGGATCATGTCCAACCCTGAGAAGGCAGTACCCCAACCAGTACTGGCCATTCTTTCTGCACACTTCTATCTGCCATCCTGAGTGTACGGGAGTTTGTGTTAGCAAAGCAAGACATCCTGTATGCTGTGGGTTGGGTGTCTTCTGAGAGTGCTCTGAGCACTCAGAGTCTGATCCTCAAAGAAAAAAAAAAAAAGTAAAAACAAACAAACAAAAAATACATTTGAGCAAATGTAGGGTTTTTATACGATGCACATAAAACTAGAATGAAAAAGAATGGGTGAAAAAGCAATCTCATCTCATGGAGGCAGAGATTTCCTGAAGCCTTCCTGATGGGGCCCAACATATGTTTAAAGTAAGGGGGGTGCATGCCCTAAACTCACACTCTAAGTTGCCATCACTTAATATGGGGGCAGGGGGGAGGGAAATAAAAAGGAATAATCAAGGTTTTGTTGTTTGGTTTTGTTTTGGTTTTTTTTTTTTTTTCTTTTTTAAAGAAAGCAGAGCCCTTAGCTAGAGACACCTTGTAAATAGAAACTAGTGGAGTTCAGAGCCAGCAAGTTCCTGCATTTCTGGGGGTAGGGAAAATTTTTGCATCCCAAACCTCGCAACAAGATGAGCATCAGGGCCCCCAAATGTAGAGCAACAGTTTTATCCTCCATTGGCTCCTGTGATGCCTTTATCTGTATAAATAGTTTCAGTGTTTCTTAAGCACTGTGAGGGAAGGTAAAGTGTAAGGGAGGGTTATTAGGCAGTCTGGTCTTCATCTTCCTATTGGCATGCTCAGAAATTTTTGGCTACAGCCAGGTAATCTTGGCTCTGCAATGCTCTTTGAAAACCAGGAGAGAGGGAAGGAAGCTTTCTGGGGAAAGAAGACATAGGATGTTTCCACAGTGGTGGTGAGCAAAGGATTGTTGAACACTTCTGGGGGATGTCTGGGGTTTTTTATTAGTATTTGCAACAGGCTGAGTTAAATAGAAGAACCCCCTCAAGTCTTCCTCTCACTCCCTTGATAAGGATGCCAATGTAAGTGACTCATGCTTCAAGCCCTTCTTAAGAGAGATACAGGTATCACAAACAACCCTACTAGTAGGACGGTGGGGTGCCAAGAGACTGCATAACCCGTCTGTCCCCGTGGGAGCTCCCCGAGCGCTGGCAGTATCTTCCCCAGGCTTCTCCTTACCACTATTGTATTATGTGTATTACTCTTGCTAAAATTTGTGAGAAAGTTACCCCAAAGGCTGTGGAGCACTGAAGGCAGAGCTTCTCCTGGATTTATTTTCTTAGCATGTCGTTTGTTGTGGAAGGAAGAAAGAAGGAAAGAAAGAAATAAAGAAAGAAAAAAAAGGCAGAAAAACTTAAAAAAAAAAAAAAAGCCTTGAGGTTTTGCTGGTTTTGGTTTGTTTTGACCCAGGCACTGTCGCCGCCTGGGACTCACTATAGATGAACTTCTCTCCCTTCCCCTCACCTCCAATCTTCCATTATAGGAAAGTCCCTTTGAAAGGGATGCCTTGTACAATTTTATATATTTTATTGAAGATTTATTATTTCTTATCTCTTATTTCGAATTAAATTAAAAAAGAAAAAACAAGTTTAATCGCGTGTGGCTCTGTGAGTGTTTGGAGTTCTTTAAAAGGTAACTTCGCTCTCCGTGTGTGTTTTGCAGCGCTGGGTCAAGTTCAAAGGAATGTTTGGGTTGCCTTTATGATTATTTCCCCTTTCTGAATCTGAATTAAAGCCAAATTTACAGCACATGAAGGTGAATTGCAAGTCAACAATTCAAAGTCGAAAGCCAAACCTTTTATGAGGTTTCCTTGTTTTTAACAACCGCTTTTAGGCGCCTCTGTTCTTTACAACATCATACTCTGGTGATGTTTCCATCACTTTTCTCCGCTCGTGTGCCTTTCTCTTTTGCTCAGGACTCTCCCTCTGACTTGCCTTTCTATTGACCCCAAATCTGTGCTTTAGTGGGAGACTAGTCCTCACCCCTGGAGTAGCTGGGGGTAATTTTGTACGGGTCAGACCTGGCAGGGACCCTGCAATACGGGTTGAATTTCGGGGCTCCGATGTGCTGTCAGCCTGTCCCACAGTTTTTGGGGTGTGCACTCATGTGAAAGCAGGTGCTGGGCCACCCTCCTCTGGCCTTTCTCGAGAGGGGGGGCTCAGGTTTGCTTCGACAAGAGGGGTACACAGGAGGTCAGGAGTGGTTTTTTTAACGTGTCACATCGAAGTCTTGCAATGGCCCAAAGTAAATTTTATTTTGGGAGGCTTATTCGGGTTGAGAGAGATCTCTGGGATCCCAGCTGGCAAAAAAAAAGGTGCATCTGCCCCTGTTGGAACAGTCGGGCAGTTTAACTCGGCTGTGCAGAGGAGAGTTTTCCCCGGCTCCAGCGCTCACCCCGGCCTCGCAGCTCTCCCAAGGGGGGGTCGCTG